TTTTGTTGTTGTTGTTTGTCATAGTCTTCCACCAATTCTATTCACATTCTCATTGGGAGTAAAATGCATTCACCTAACATGACACATTAGTCTAAAAATACCCCAAACCTAAAACGTTACAAGATCCTCCGGCTCTTCTGTCTGTACAGTGTCTTCCTGCTGCTGTGAGCTTGTCTCAGCAGTTTCCAGATCCTCGTGATCACCTGGATAACAAAGGGAACATTTTTTTTAGATTTAGAAACAACCTTCAGCTACAAAGCGTGAAGTCGATGTAAAGAGTTGTGATGATTTCGTACTTGACGGGATGCGGTGTATCTGGACCAGCGTTGTGTGGCGTCCGTTGGTTACCGGAGGCAGCCGGGGAACGGCGTCCTGGAAGATCTGTTCGTCATCGGACTCCACCAGACTCAGCACGTCTCCTCCGTCCTCCTCCAGCTGGCTGCAGGGCAGAAATATCACTGTGGCATTAAAGAGCAGCTCAGGAACCAGCAGAGGTGGAAGAAGGTTTGGATTTGGTACTTGTGAGTAAAAGCACCAACAACACCAAGTAGAAATGCTCTGTTACAAGTCTAAGCCATGCATTTGTTTGCACAAGTAAATATACAAAGATATTCGTACTCAAATGAGTGATAGTTGCCATATTTCAGATTGAAGTAATCATGTGAAGCTGGTGAAGGTGGCTTAACTCATCATTTATCTGCTGGGTAGCTTGAGAATATTGACACAAGGATCAATAAAGTTTTCTGTTGAAGTATTTATTTATAATTTATATTCATAATTTGAACATGCAAAGTAACTAAAGCTGTCAGACAACTGTAGTGGAGTAAAAACTACAATATTTGCAGCTCAACTGTAACAGAGTTCAAGTAAAGAGGAGCAGCAAAGGAAAATACAATCATCTCAAAACTGTACTAGATGATAATAAATACCTGTTTTACACTGATACACATCATCAAACCATCGTCTGACAGTTGTTGTGTCAACATCTGTTTCAAATTCCAAAAGAAGGATTTGAGAAAATGCTAGAAAAGGGTCAAAATGACAGGGATCCTCTGGAGGTTCTGGGAACATACTGAGACGTGGAGTAATTCTTCATCAGAAGCAGTGACGAAGAATACGACTTTCTAGCAAACAAAGTGTATTTACAAACTCACCACCAACTTGGCGACATTTCTGTGTCAAATGATCTCTTAGAGACAAAGCTTTGAGAGCAGCTGTTCTGCTCCAGTCACAGAGAGTCTTCTTCCTGAACAGCAGCAGCTCGACTGCTTTCAAGCTACAGACACTGAAACGACTTATTTAGAATAGGACTAAAACCAGGACGTGTGCAGCGCTGTGAAATCAAACCATCTTTGCAGTAATCTGAGCTGAACAAAAATTGAAAGGCACATTCTGGAGACACGTGAGACTTTGATTCGTTTGCTGAGTCAGCGTATTGACTCAGCGTGTCAGACACGGAGTCGATACGTTTCACCTGCAAGCAGTAAACTAACATGTTGTTCACCCACAGTCATGTCAACGTCTCTGTGTAATAACACAACTATAACTCCATTACTATTTACTACACTGTATACTTATGTTGTAATTCTCCAGTACATTTTATGCTTTTAGTTTTCCACTTATGTTTATATTTTTAGGATTTTTTTTCCTACTGATGTTAACCTTATCATTTCTCAATAGGGAGCAGCTGTAAGCAAGCTTTTTTTTTTTTTTAATTTT